ATTACAATATAGGCTCTTAAAGAATACCAAATACGAAAACCGGGAGAGTTTCAAAGATTACCCGGGGTTATGGAAAAATTCACCGAGGAGCAATTGTTTTTCATATCATTTGCTAACGTAAGTCATTTTACTTTTATGATAACTTATTTATTATGGAGAATGAAATGTTATAATAAAGAGTTTACCTATAGTTTGTTAAAACAAGATTAATAATTTATTTATCAAAAATAAACACAACTGTCAAAAATATTATCATGGTTCAGTAATTGTGTAATAATTAGTAACGAAAGTATTAGGAATTATATATATTTAAATAAATTTGACGATGATTTTCAGACATGATGTAAATAAAATGAAATATAACGTCACTTTAAATGAAAGCATAAAATAAATATTTGCATTTAAAAGCTGAATATTTTTAGCTCTGATAACACGTTAACTCCATTTAAAGTGCGATAAAATTGAATAGAATTTGAATTTGTTTTCTATGGTAATCAGATAGTTTGAAAATACAATTAGATTTGATTTGTTCCTAAGCTAAAACACAAAAAAGATAGTGACACTAAAAATAGTTTTTTGACACAACTTAGCATTTAGTCTGCAGAATATTCTGTACCCCATGATAAGCTTATAAGTAGGAATCAACACTTGAACTAGGTGGCCTATATTCAAAATTAATTTCCAATAAAGCACAAACTACTTGATATTAAGTAGTAGTCTACGAATTGATAATAAAAATGATAGATAATTGATGTGATTGTGTGTGACATATGTAGATGTGGTGCTCCAACTACCAGAGCGATGCCATTGCGGACACCCTTCGGAAACAGCCGCACCCGCCGGAGTCGGTGAGAGTGAACGGATCGTTAGCCAACTTTGACAGGTTTGCCGAAGCGTTTCACTGCAAACCGGGATCTAAAATGTTTAGAAAACCAGAAGAGAGATGTATTCTCTGGTGAATACAATTATGACTTTAAATAGAGAGAGAAAAAAGCAAAGATAGAGTGAAAAGAGTGAGATAGAGACTTACGGACGGGTAGTAAACATATCAATAATTCATTTTTATGTTTTTCATACATTTTATGATAAAAATATTTATTCTTCCTTTTATTAATCACACCATTCATTGCAATTTGCTTTTTTTGTGAATTGAAATTTTATACGATGATATTAATTTTTTTATACCAGCATATTATGAAATTATTCTTTATAATAAAATTTTTTTAATTTTTTAAAAATTCAAAGCATAACTGAATTCCTATATTTATTAAAGTTATTAAAATAGAAAACATATAAAATATTAATTTAATCTTTTCTAAAATGAATATATTTATGCAGCTTATTACTTATTTAACTATAAGTTTACGAGTTTATGATGTAAAATGCTAAAAGTTATGATTTGAATAAAATTCTGTTAATATTGATTTTAGTACAGTATAAATGTTTAAAAAGTACTAATACGGTAATTTAAATGCAAGGTATATTATTAAAATTGTGATGATAAAACTGTGAAATAAAATATTTTTGTCAATAAAATGTAAATAATAAAGTCATGTAACTATTATCAATTGAATTTGTATTATATTAAATCATAATATATCATATCATAAAGTCATTAAGGCAACTTTAATCATTAATTTATTAAAATCAAATGAATTCAGTAAATAGCTTTAATAATTAATATTGTACATGAAATCATCAATAGTTTTTTAATGTAATAATTTTTGTACTGAACTTTATATTAAAAAATTTGTGTTTATAATCAGATCAATGAACATTAATAATGACAGACTTTTAACTCATTTAAGCATCAAATAAAATATTACAAAACGTTAATAAAAATGAAAATGATTTACGACATAAAAGTGCCGCTTACGTTATGTTTGCTTTACTGTTAGTGTTTAATTTGCTCATTAATTTAATTCATCAAAATATTTTTAGAGTAAAGCTTTTTCATGAGAGCACAAAGACTATTACAATATAAGTTTGTACTCAAAGATAATGATTTGATATGAAAGGCCTAAATATAATGTCTTTGTATAACATTTATTTGTCGGGAAATATTGTCAAAAAGCTTTAATCTCGTAAGTCGTTAAAAGTTTTTGAAATCAGGAATAAAGAGTTACAATGAATTATATATCGATATCGCCAGTGCCATTAGCTCAGGTATGTTTAGTCCATTCATGAATCGTCCATTTGTTTAGTAAATTCCATGTAATATTCCTTTGAATAGATAAAGAAATATATAATATATTTATACAGTACTACAACAATAACACAAGAACTATAATCATATTAGAGGTAATGACAGAAATTTATTTGTATTAGTCTTTTACCACAACTCGTTTTGATCGTTCACTTTGATGGCATCGATCGACGGCTGTTCCGCCACACAATCCTCTAAGTATTTCCCACTAATTCCGTTCATTTCCTTTGAAAGTGTCGTATAAATGGTTGTCTCCGCGCCTTCTTTTGCTGACTGTTCACAACATAACACACATTGAATGCCAGGAATACCAGTGGGAATGGGATCAGAATAAAG